GTTCTTGGGCAAACACAATCTATAATGTCTACCAGTCATTTGAACAAGGCGGTTAAGTTGTCAGTCTACCACTCTGGGAAATCCAAGATAAAATCAGAGCAGACCCATGAATTTTTCGTTGATGATCTGTCCTGAATACATTAGCACCCATCCCTCATCACCCACCTGTTGTATTGTGAAATTGGCCAAACCCTCCATGTTCACTGGACAAAAAAAATTAAAATTTAAAAAAATCTATGATCAACGTTACAATATTTATAATGTTTTAAGCATAACAAAAAATATCACCTGCAAACTTGCTATTTGTATTTCTATCACCAAATATTTTCTCTCTCTCAAAATGATACTTTGTATCAAACAACATGGGAGTATTTTTGAGGCTGGTATACGGGTTGCTAAGGGTGATTGTATAATGCTGAGCATTAACTATGCAGCCACACTTGAAGAGTTTCACAAGAACAAGTCCTAGATAATCAAAGAAAAATGATAACATGACTTTCCCTGCACTTGACTGAGTCTTGATCTTTTCAGACAGGAGATGATAATACTATCACTAAATGCTTGATTAATAAGTTTCAGGTTTGTAGTGGTAACATCAAGATTCATCACCTACTATTATATGATTTAAAAATACATTATTCTTCTCTTGGTAGCAAATGAGATGTTCCTGGCATAGTTCAATACATATCTGCTTCTGTTTGTCACTTTGCAATACTAAAAGCTTTTATGAATAACAGTATGAATGCTGCCATAACTTAAGTTATGCCACAACATCTGCAAGTTCATCCTGTTGGCTTAGATCAGGTCATCCACCCATGCAATAGTCATCTCCATAATTTGTGCTTGATCATCCTTTAATGATCTTGAAATGAAATGATCTCAAGAAGAATATTTCCATACAATAGATTTGTATAAAGTTTTGGACTAATCTGCACTAATCATATATTGTACTAATTCTTCAAAAAATTTCTGCTACGTCCTTCTGCAGTCATATCTTATAATTCCATACTTCTCCAAGTGTAATGTGTAAGATGGAAATGTCAAAGGATGTCGTTCTTTACACACTTCCATCTTACACTTTACACTTTTCCCTCTTTCAGGAAAGTGAGCAGGTACTGCCACACACTCAACGTAGAACAGTTGCTATCACTCTTGCAAGAAATATGAAACTTTAACTAGCAACAAATTTGCACAGGCAGTGTGATAAAGATGAAGCTCAAAACTGGAGTTGATCCCAGCCACAATAGGAGAAACATGTTGTCAACAATGGTAAATAAGTGTGGTAAAAAAAGCACAATTTTTATACATAAATGTTTTTTTAAAAACTAGATTCTTAATTAGAAACCAAGATAATCATCTGATATTTACTTCAATATCATAAATGAAACTGATGAAATCAATATGTTAAAAATTATGACAATGGAATATGCAAATTTTTCTTTTAAATTTTACTGTCCTATTTATTTCAAAACTGAAATTTATCCTAACCTTCAGAAATGAAGATTGGTTAGGATAGAAACTAGTTATAATTTAAACAGTAATATTTCTATTTTTATAATTAGAATTCCTTTAAATACATCAAATTTGTGCTGATTTCTCTCACAGTGACAAATATCATTTCCTAGAAGATCCAACACATTAGCCAATGGAAAGTGTGTGACCAGTGATGTGACAGTTCATTCCAGGAAGAAAGTTTTTATAGTCAGTACAGAGTGCCTGATGTTCAATCTCCTACAGTTTCTTCCTGAGGGAGGACTGAAGATTGAAGGAAAAGATAAGCAAAAAGGAAAGCATCACGGAAAAGGAGATGCCAGTGAAGCTCAAGTAGTGAGTCTGAGCAGAAGTCTAGTTAAGTGCAGCAACTGAAATCATAAAGTCCACCAGATGTTGATAAAAAGTAATAGAACTAATCTCCATCAGAAAGAAGAAATAAACCTTTTAGCATCACATTAAAACAAATTTAACAATAAAATGAAATTGAATCTGTTCAATATATTATATTAATACCACCTTCAATAAAGCCATTATGTATTTTTAAGACATAATATTTCTATTTTATTTTATTTACCATTATTTTTTATTTTCAAATTCACTTACAGTAGCATTCCATAAGAAATTTTTACAATTGCCACCATAGCAATAATTTCCATTAAAAACTAAGAAATAAGAACAATTAATACAAACATTTCATAAAAAACTAACAGTTACTGATAGATAAATTTCTCTCAAAAAAATTATATTTTTGGATTTACAGATTCAATTATCATATTTTTATAGTACTCCCACAATAAGAAAATTTAATCATAGGGAAAAAAGAAGATTAATTAGATAAAATTCAAATTTCTAAAATTCACATATTAACACTGACTTAGTTTTAAAATCACATTTTTAAAATTTAAATCTAATATAATAATAGCTATCAGATGATAACAACGATTTTAATTTAAAATCACTACTTTTTATCACATGACAACTATTCTTATTGAAGTGTATTAATATATTTTATGAAAGAAAAATTTACAAATTCTTTTGAAATAAATGAATAAAATTATATAGAATAACTAAAAAATATTACTTTTAGTCTATATATATTTATTTATATAATTAAAGTGAGTTATATTTTAAGCAGCTTTAACATGTAATGCCAATAATTTTATTTTTTTGTACTTTTTAACATTTGTTGCAACTTCACAAAAATCATTAATAAATTTTTTATAATTTTTGTTTTATCAAATCAAAAGTAACTAAGATATATAATTAAACAGTTTTATAAAACTTTTCTCCAAAATATAAAAAAAAAACAAATAATTTTATAATTTACTACAGTATTCTAAGGAAATACATAAATTACTGAATATATTTATTTTACATAACACAAAGTATCATATCAAAATACATATATTAAAAAATAAAAACAAAAATAAATAATACTCTGAAACTAAAGTGATGAATCACTATATTTTGTCTCAATTTCATTTTACAGTTTCTTATGAAAGATTACATATTCTAAGATGAAAGTATGAATCATATACAAGAATTATAAACTCACTTGAGTATTGATCAAAGCAAATACATGAAAAAATAAATAATAGAATTTATATTAAATAATTTGTGTGATGGTGAAATTAAATATATTCCAATTTATCAATAATAAATCACTAATATTAAGATATTAGAATAATAAGCTTAATAATATTTTTATTATTTTATACATTGTTTTAAACCTTATAAAACATACAGAATGTTCACTTTAACATTTATCAGGCACAAAATTGATCTTATCAGCATTGCATAAATATATGAATTTGCTGTATTAGTTCAACTATAATGATTACAGTAAGAATTTAGCTCATTCAAAAAAAAAAAAAAAATATGTAAATTGCATGGTCATTCTGCAGCAATACACAAATTTTCTTTGCTCTTTCATGTACTAAAATAAGAAGAAAAAAAAATTTAGCATAACTGACAAAGAATCTCTGACTGTAAAGGATAAAACTCAACACTGCATAAGAACAATTAGCTTTATTTTGCTATAGTACATATTCAAAGTCACACTCAACCATCTTCATTTATGTATTGCCACTGAAAATGACAATACAAAAATGTAGATGGTTGAGGGTGGAATAATAGGTGGCACATATAATACCTGTCATCATCCTAAAAGATTTTCAAATTCACTTTTGCAGCTTGCCAACATCATTCAGTGCTGCTGGGTACACATTGCAAACTGATGCTTTTAAATTAAGCTTCACTAAAACAAATAGCAGGGTCAATGTGATGGCCACAGAATAGGACTGTGTTGTCCTATCCATGGGTTCTTGAACTGCTCTTTGAGTCCCTATTGCACATCTGCTAAGAAATGAGTTAGTCAACCATCCTGCTTATACCAAACCTACTATAGTTTTCCAACAGCAAGTCATTAAGCCATTTGTCTATCATCACATATAAGATATTAAGAGAACAATCACTCTTAATGAATACAAGACCTAAAACTTGCCCACTTCAGATGCTATATCAGACATTTAGATTAAAATGTCTGATATAGTGTTGCATGTTTTGGTTATATCATAAAACACACTGTATCCAATGTTGCATATTAAGACAATTACACTCTCCATTCTAAAACAACATGCCTACTCAGTCCATAAAATGTGTTCAAATAGTTGTTAAATTTATATCAAGATAACCTACAAACTGCTGTTCATCATCCTCTGCCCCATTGTCAGGTGCAGATAACAGTTGAATAAGTGCACATCATGGTAATGTAAAATTTAATGTATTTGTGACAGTTACGGTCCTCCATTGCCTCTCTGCTTAACATACACTTGTATATGAATATAGAAATATGCCAAAACTTTAATATCATTAAGATGAGGGCAATTTGGAACATTATCCCTGATAGTGCTACAGGTTTGCATCAAATGGTGTATTACATTCAGAACTGTAATTGCATAAGTCTTGATGCAGCTGAATGTTCATGGAATCTATGTGCTGCTTCTTGTACATTTCATCTCATTTCCCCATAATGTAAAATCGTTTCATAATAGTGTTTACGAGTATAGTCAGTCAGTGTGTTCTATCAATTAGCAGACTGGATGATGATGACTCTTTTGTTGATCTTGACAAATTTGTGTTGCCACTAATTTGTCAAGGTCACATATTTAATTTGCTTCTTGTTCTTATATGTTTGGAATATTTAATAACTGCCTCAGAGCTATCGCATAATTTACATACTGGTCCCCTTTTTGAATGAATTAATTTAATTTACCATAAACATCACAGTGGAACTAATGGATCATATGCACATACAGTACTTGTATATTGCTGGAAAGATATCTTGTGCCCCAGATAAACGTTGAAGTAAACATCCTATATAAGTTTGTATGTGTGTATGTATATATATGATGCTATATTTTCAACGTTTTTTTATAATGATAACTATTAATTATTATACAGTATATAAATATTAATTTAGAAGTTTGCTGAAAAACAAAACTTACATCTCCTCTTTTGCCTTTGGATGGTGGACCTGTAATAATAAAAGTATTAATATTTCCAAAATAAAATATATTTATTATTTTTATATACTGTAGTCTACTAATTATAATTACTTTGGGACTTGTCTATATATATAAAGTAATAACCTATTTAATCACATTAAGAAGTATAAATAAATAACACAATATAGAATATATAGTGAAAAGTTTGGTTTATTGATGGACATTAAATGGACATGCTAAAACAATTAAAAAATCCTTAACTAAAAAATTTATTAATTAATAATAATTCATGTAGCATATAATTGAAGTAAGAAATCCCACCCATTTAAACTACTATACTAAAAGCAAATCATGTTTAAAATTTAAATCTTCTTACTTTGGTCTTGCAACAGATTTAAATAAATGCCTGAAGAAGAGCCCAGAAGGGGCGTCGAAAACGTTAGGACTAAAGAAACATTTTTTTGCTCCGGTTATTTGATTTGAAGTAAGAAGATATAAATTTCAACCCGGTGTGTTAGGAAGTTAAATGATGTTTAAAATTATTAACATTTAACTTTTAAAGAATTAAGAGTAATAATAATAATTAATAATGACTGCATTAGCAGCCATATACTGATGCTGATAGTGCAGAAAATGCCTACTTACCTACAGATAATAACAACTATAACTAAAACTGATAATAAACAAAGCTTTATAAATGTATTTTAACTTGTATGTTTTGGGCCATGTTAATATTAAATAACTGATGATAATATCTGGGATTACAATAAGCAGATTCTACTATACTTTGTATCAAAACATCTTAATCAATGATTCTCAAGTTTTAAAATGTAGTTTTGGCAAAAACATTAAGCTAGATTTGGATTCTATTAAGTAACCAGTTAAAAAACTGGATTCTACTAGCAAGCAACTAACACTCCAACTGGTTTCTTGACAATAAATTTTCTTAGCATTAAGAGTGCATTTAATTTGACTTCTGAATACATTAAAAGTATTGCTAATAAGTATAATGAAGTCTTATGTTAACTCACTAAATTTCATGTTTTGTAATTAATATGATTGTCTTGTTTGAGTTATTTTGAAGAAATCACTCATAAGGAAATAGCCACAGATTGTAAATTGTAATAAACAACAGATGCTTAAAACATTACAACTTGTCATGTTTTACTGTCAGGATCCTCAACAAATCTGGTGCTATATTCTAATCACTTATCTTTTGTCATGAAAATGAATGATCTCAGATGAGAAATGAAACTATCTTTCAAAACTAGTAATAATGAAAGTAAAGCATAAATCGCTCAATTCCTGATATCAGTAACTAGAGTGATTTGTTATACATGTTTGAGTTTGTCTGCATGCACACCATTATTGAATTTCAACCAATGACACATATTTTTCTATATTGAGAAATTCTGTATTGAATATGTAAGTTAGTTTCTTAATCTTAACTCTTAACTGGTATATGAAGTAAAGGATACAGCTTTACTACAAAAAAACAAAAAATATGCATCCAAATGTATCAATTTAAGTAATGCTTATAATAGCAGTTTCCAACCTTTTTGACTAACAGAGCCCTTTTTAGAATCAATTTCTATGGCAGAGTCCCTTAGGCCTACTCTATGTCTAACAAATTAATGGTGTTTAGGAATAGTGTTATGGGGGAGCCTAGGAGTAGGCCTAAATTAAGATGTAACATAAAATCACATATAAACATTTAATGAGACACTTGTAGTTGCATTTTTTGCAGTTTTCTTATTTTAAATTCAATTAATGATAATTACAAACATTTGCCTGTATTTATCATCAATTATCTGCATTTAAACAGTTTCTTATATTTTGTAATTGTACCTGTATAGGCAGAGAATCCTGCTTCACAGAGATATGTAGTTGAGAAAGGCAGCAATACTGTACATGATTCAACTTGGCAAATTGTTTCTTATTCTTTAATTTCATTCAATTTTTATTTACAGTAACACCTCAACTTACGCAAACCTGGAGTTACGTGATTTTCAAATCTCAGCGATTTGTCTTTTGTTTGAACACCACGCAACTCTTGATTACTCACTCCCCCACACTATTGTTCAGCTTACATGTTCGAATGGGTCGCGCGAAATCAATGCATAGCTACAATTTATTTTGTTATTTATTTCTGTGTTTGTTATATCTACGGAGACTTGAGAGACTGTAATATGTCATCCAAACAAAGTAGAACTAATTCTTCTGCATCAAACAAGAAAATAAAAACTTTGTCTTTGGAATGTAAAGTTAACATTATTAAAGACTTCGATACAAAAATGAAAATTTGTGAATTGGCAAAGAAGTTTAGTCTACCGGAATTGACGGTCAGAACAATTATAAAAGGTAAATAAAAAATTCTCGAAGCTGTGAAAAATGCTCAATCTTTAAGATTGAGCATTTTTCACAGCTTCCTAAATTCAAGCATCATTCGTAAACGTCACGGTATTATCGCTGGGATGGAAACAATGTTATCTAAGATTTTATAAAACATTTTTTTCTAAATTTGTTTTCTTTAGTCTCCGACCCCAATTAAAAATAATTTGTATGTATTTATATGCAAAGTTATACCCTGACTTACGCGGTTATTGCTCAGTCCCACCTATCGCGTAAGTTCAGGGTATTACTGCATTTTATTTTCCTCAAGCAGCCACGGAACCCAAGAACTGCACACGAAGCACAAGTTGGGAATCACTGCCTTATAAAATGACAAAATTTTAGTTGGTCTTCAGAAAAAAATATTATATGTAGCTACAGAATTGTAATAATAATTCAATATTTTTTTACATTAACCTACAGATTTAAGTACATTTGAGTAACTTTTCCATTAAATTATTTCAGAAAAAAATAATTTCTTAATAATCCTTTAGTATCTATTTTTGATTTTAAAAAATGCTAAGAATTGATTTGTCTAAAATACATGAAAACAATGTTATTTTATACAAAATAAAAAGTAAAAATGTCAAAAATTTACAGTGAGAAAAATCAAAATTGCCTGTCATGTATGATGAAATATACAAAACTAGATATTTATATGATGAATATAAAATGTAAATCTTTAACACAAAATGTAAACAAGTAGAACAGCACTCCTAACAATTTTATACAAATAAAAACACAAGTACCAATTTTTAATTTGCCATCACTAATAATTTGTTAACCTTTTTTTCTTTTTGTCTGATTTTTTTTTTGTTCTTGCTTTGCCTAAATTTGGAGAAAGTTCCCCAAGCTCTCTAATTTTTGTGCCGATGGATACAGTTCATTTTATGCAGGACAAGGCATCTCCCCATTTTGCTGTAATCACAAGAGAATGATTTGGCATATTGTTGCTTGGATATGAGATTAAACACAGAGGAGGCATTGAGTGACCAAAGAAGAAAGTCAGATTTGACATCCACGACTTTTGCTGGATATCTCAAGAAGGTGTACCAATGAAAATTTATGACTCTGATGTGCTAGAAGCAACTATTGATTAGAAATGTCAATACATTCCAGTCTAAATGTTGCAGAATTTTCAGAAATGCATCAGGGATGCTAGCAGGTACAGTATATTAAATTTTATACAGAATGATCAATAAATAACCAGTCAATGATAATGAAGTGTAATGAGTTTATTTTATTTTACATATATTTACCCTAGCTGTTGGAAGCATTAATCCCATTGTCCCACAGGCCTTGTAACTGAAAAAGTACTGCAGAACAGCTGCAAAGCCGAGTACAAATGGATTCCTCTTGGGTTAGATTGAACTTGTACAACTTTCAATGCTTTCAGTTCACCAAAGACGTGAAAGCCACACAGCCCTCATTTGAATTAGGCTTAGTTTCTGTTGTCCATACACATTTGTCATATGTTGATGAATTTCCATAGGTCTGTTCTCTTCTGTGGTTAAAAACCATATTATGGCACACTGCACTTCTTTAGACATATGCATTCTACCATAAGATCACAAGTACTACTAATTGTATACTGCTGTTTATCTTATCTATAATAGACCTTTCAATTCCTGCCAAGTTGCATCAATATGCAAATTGTATTTCAAGTACTGAGCTCACTGACTGGTTTTGTTATTGGTCATCCCTTATGGGTAAAACTTACTCTTCACACAACTCTGACATTATTTTAGACGTTCTATCTATTGTACTAATTTGTTAATAGCTAAATAAAACATTATACATAAATATGAACCATCTTATATGTATGTGTATATGTATGTATGTATGTATATTCACACACACGTGATCATAAACTATTCCTTGATTACAAACATTTACTGTGCAAAAACTATGCTAGGAAGAAACATGTAGTTTGCATTATAAATTAGACTGATTCTTAGAGTAATTTTTTTTTGCTATAATGTTGCACAGACTGAATCATCAATATCAAAAGTAGTGTCTTTGAGAGGAGAGAAAGTGAGAAAACTCAATGTATTATGTAGTTTTACAGAAAAAAAATTACTACTAAACCAAAAAAATTACTAATTACAGTTCAGCAAAATTCAAGAAAAGAGTATGGACAAAAACCATTAATGTGAAAAGCATTAAAGGCTGGTATGTAGCATTTAAAGACACTGGCAGTTATTTTCATATCACCATTCCTTTATTCCTTTATTTCATTCTTTTAGTTTCCTATTTGCTTCTAATTTCATCCTCGTTATTAAAAAAAATCCATACTGTTTTACCAAAATATCTTTTACACAAAGAAGGCCGAAAACATTCGTACTCCTGTATATACGGCTAGAAATAAGTGAGGAAGGTTTTGTGTTGATCATCTTTTAAACAATGCTGAACAGATTAAACATTACTGCCATTTACCAATGTCAGTTAATAAATTAGCAAAGAATAACAAAAAATGTGTATTGCCTGTTTTAGGGAAGTCCTATATTACATAAAAGGCAAGTAAATAAAAAAAAATGAATAAATGATGTAAGTACCTTTTATGCTTTAGGTACCTTAATTCATCAAATGCCTCAATTATGGCCTTATCCATCAGCCTCTCCTGTGTCTAAACCTTCTA